AGGGCCTCCTTTAATCGCAATGGATGTGTATTTAATGATGCCGAAAAAATCTTGGATAACATTGATAAAACAGAATGACAAATATTAATCTCCCCGCTCAGAATACTCTCATGGAATGTGGTAGGGTGGTTTCACTGTTTTTGGGCGGCATGCCATAATAGCCAGCCAAACCCTTAGACCTTGGTTTTATATCACCATATTTGTTGTTTCAGATATTTTACTAGTTGTTTGTCCAGTCTGGCTTTTTGCAGCTTATGCCAGTTCTTGAAGTTTTGCATTCAGTTTTGTCTTATGTATGGCTTGATGCTGTAACAATAAAGTATGTATGTACCTTCCAACTACCACAAATATTATCTTGAGCTGCTGACTTTCAAGGAAAGGTGAACAGAGAACATGGATGACATAGCAAGAAGATAGGGCAGATTTAAGGCAAAGGGAAGAAAGGCAAGGATGTAAGGATAACAGAAATTGAAGCAACAATCTTCAACTAGTTCATAACATTTCTCTACTGCCGAACCATACAAGACTGACTACTTGGTCATAACTTAATTAATGATGTAAATTATTTTCATAGGGGACATAAATAGTATTTAATCAAGAATAGCACACTGACTGATATCTTCCACAGATATAGTGGCTTGACAGTATGGACATGTACCTGCATCCCATTATTCTGTATTAATATTTAATATTAAAACCCTGTGATTGCCTGATCTGGCTTCCTTGAGTTTGTTTAAAAAGCTAGTCCAACTAGAGTGCAGCATTTCTGGGGTGATCATATAATTATAATTGGTTAAAACTTGTACCTATTATATAATACCAGTCAATATTTTTATAGTTTTGATTGACTGTGCCTGGTGTTTTTAAATAACAATAATAGTAACAAAAAGAAGTAGTAGTATATGCTGTCAAGTCAGTTATGATTTATGGCAACCTTTTTCCTTGATTTTCCAGGTAAAGAAAACTCAGAAAAGTTTTACCATTTTCTTCTTCTTGGGGTGCCCTGGGACTTGCAGCTTTGCCCAAGGCCAGATAGGATGGCTCTTCTGGGATGCCCAGTGGAGAATTGAATTCCTAACTTCCGGTTGTGCAGCCAAATATCTAACCCACTGAGCTATCCAGCCAGCATGCTCATATACATAAAAAGCAATTCAATAAATAATGAAAAATATCTTTGCAGATCCAGAAATGCCGAATCTTTGGTGAAATGGGACATTCTCATATCTCCTCTCCAAATTGGATGATGGCATATACTGAAAGTGCAGAGTTGTGAATGATTTTCTTAAAGTGGTTGCAATTAGATTAACAAAATTTTCCAAACCAAATCATGTTTTGTATATACCAACAAGACATTTGTGAGATGGTACAGAGGTCCCGCCACTTAAGAGTAAAGAAACTTTTTTGAACAGTTGCTTAACTCTGAAAGAGACAAAGGTGGGCAAGTACTCTGTATCAATCCTGTTACTGTGTAAAATGGGTCTAACAAAGTTTACCCAGGACTATCAGGATGGTCATTCAAATGGTTTAAACTGGTCTTTAGGAAGGCAAGAGTCACTCCTACAGGGTCAATTCAGGCAATGCATACCAAGCACAATGTTGAATGCATTTCAGTTTGCATTAATCCCACTTCAACCTTTTCATGTGCAGCATAGCTGAAGGAGGACAGTTCTGAGAGATCATATAAAAGTGTTTGGGACCAACTTTTGAACAAGGTGCTTTTGCATATTCCCATATCTCTGCCACATATATCATTTTGTGTACTACAGTATTTTCTTAGCAAACATCTCAACTGCAGAAGCAACCAAGCTCCCCCCCCCCCATGAACTTTGATAAACCGCAAAAGAGAATGAGATGATTTCAGGTTAATTGCATTTGGATTACGACTTTGTGAAGGCTGGGCAATTAAATAAAGACCAAGATTTCTACAATTTTGTAACTGTTCAATAGGAATATCATCAAGCATCCATATGTTTCTCTTCTTTTCAGAGACTACTACTTTGGTCTTTGTATAATTGATAACCCCATGTTCTTTTACACCGAATTTGCTCATTTCAGCCAAAACTTTTCACATGTCAACTAGTGCCTATGTTATTGATCAGAATATACATATTTTTTCCAAAGCTAATGCAATTGTGGATAAAGGTAAAGCTGCAAGGCAGAACTTTGTAACTACCCTATTTCTCTGAAAATAAGACCTAACCCGAAAATAAGTTCTAGTATGATTTTTCAGGATGCTTATAATATAAGCCCGAACCTAAAAATAAGCCCTAGTTAAGTGAAATCCCGCCCTCCACCATTGTGCAGCATTGTGCAGCAACTAGAAGATGACATAACTGTAAAATAAAACATCCCCTGAAAATAAGCCCTAATGCATTTTTGGAGCAAAAATTAATACAAGACCCTGACTTATTTTCAGGGAAACATGGTATATCTGCTCTCTGAAATAATAATGCTGATAGCTTTGTGACAAGCGTTAAGAAATATTCACCTAGTTAAGTGAAATCCCGCCCTCCACCATTGTGCAGCATTGTGCAGCAACTAGAAGATGACATAACTGTAAAATAAAACATCCCCTGAAAATAAGCCCTAATGCATTTTTGGAGCAAAAATTACAGTAATACAAGACCCTGACTTATTTTCAGGGAAACATGGTATATGTGCTCTCTGAAATAATATTGCTGATAGTTTGTAGTCCCTCTTTGTGACAAGCGTTAAGAAATATTCGGGTACAATGTTTCAAGATTCACAGTAGATGAACTAGGTTCTTGAAAGCTTATGCCTTAATATATAGATGAGAAATCTATATCTCTCATCTATATATTAAGGCAACTTTAACAAATCCAGAGGACAATACCCTCCTCCCAACACGCTGTATCACTTCCTCCTAATGAAGCCAAAAGTGGCTGGAAGTATAGTACCCACCCCCACCCCCATTTTAAAACATCTGATTTTGCAATCTTCAAAACTAAGATTGTGCAATTTGCTTACAGAGGAATCATACTTCAGGGAATATGGATTCACAATGCTTTAAAATAAAATGTTCTCTGTAATTGTTTTCCTCACAGATGGTCTGTAAGATGCTTTTTAGCTAAAATAAAGTGACATAGCTTCCCTTTTTTGATAAACATGATCGGTTACTGCATTCTACTAAAATTTAAAACGAAACTTACTTAACTTGGAATGTACTTCAGCATCGAATTCTTCAAATGTGTCTCTGCCCCTCATAAAATGGTCATAACATTTTACAGTGTAGTCTAAAAAGAGCTGAAAACAAAATCATGCGAGTTAGTTTTATTGTAAATATATAGAAGTGAATTAGCATTTTAATATAACCTTCCAAAATAATCAGTTCTGCAAAATACAAGTAAACAACCAAGATCTCTTTCTTTCTCTCAATGTATGGTAAAATTAACTCACTTTTTAGACACAGCTAAAATGCATTTTGTAGTAATACAACAATTTTAAACTTTTGCTTTTGTATTTTAGGAGACACAGAGAGCATAGCCCCATATTCCAGTTACATTGATTCCAACACTTTAACATGTATTGAATCTTTTGATTTTGTGGACATCACTAACATGAATCTAGATTTAGTGATGGCTGACATGTCACAGGTAAGAGGCAATACTGTGGGGCTGTGTCCCTATTGTTATTTAGGTACTGCCTTATCAGATAGCGTCAGCCTCCGTGTTGCCAGCATACAATTCCTGACAAATCACTCTAGATGCAATATGGTCCTTAGCAGATAAAAGCTTGACGTCTCTGGCCAAAACTATCAGCTAAAAATGGCTGTTTGAACAATTCCAAAACACCGAAGAGTGCAGTGGATTGGTGACAGATACTACAAATACTTCAGGCCTAAACATTTAGCCAAGGAATAGTGTAGCAAAATGTGGCAAGTAATTGCCATTGAGGACACAGAATGGGGTGATCAGTTATTTTTGTATCCCAGTTTGCCTGTAACTTCTGTCAAGGAGAAGATAGTTCTAAGTGTGGCAGGAAAGTCAAGATCAAAAGGTGGATTTTTATAGCTATTAGGTTGGAAATCTGAAATATCCAATGTGCAAGACTTACATTTACACATGACATCAACCAAATTTTGTGTAAGCCTGTGGGTGTTAGTCAAAGACAACTGTATTTCACTTAGATTAGATCCAGTTGTGTGGTATTCTCTGGAAAATTATAGTTAATACTGTGAGAATGCCAGCAATGAAGGAGTTAATCATTCTCTCAAATCTATAAAAAATGCTGAAATAATTGGATGAGAGAAAGAATGCATATTCCACCTTCTGGAGCAAGAATTTTATCTTTGGCCTTTAAGTCTGGGGAGTGTTGTGTAGCTGAGTGAACAGTGGATCTTCTCTGTGGTGACCTGGCATTCTTCACAAATAGCAAAAATAAGTATTTTACAGTTCTAAAGGGTGACTCTTTAGTGTAAAATATACATATCCTGTAAATTCATGGAAAATAGTTGAGATACCTTGTTGTGTACTATTCCATCCTCAGTTTCTCCTATAGGCTGTTCTTCATCAAATGATTGTGGGTTTTCTTTCAAGCAAAAGAACAACTGAAAAGGAAAATGATAGTATATTAAAATGTGTAAGCAGTAACATCTTAAGATACTATAGCTGTATAAATATACTAAATAGTTCATATTCTAGACCAGTCCACATTGGATACCTTGTTGTGTACTATTCCATCCTCAGTTTCTCCTATAGGCTGTTCTTCATCAAATGATTGTGGGTTTTCTTTCAAGCAAAAGAACAACTGAAAAGGAAAATGATAGTATATTAAAATGTGTAAGCAGTAACATCTTAAGATACTATAGCTGTATAAATATACTAAATAGTTCATATTCTAGACCAGTCCACATTGATATGAAGCAATACTAAATGTGAAATGATAGCCTGAAGTATATAATGGCCAGAATTAATCTGTGAAATATTACATATAATAATCCTCATCATACATCTATATTTCCATTTTATGAATGGATCAAGATCAAACAGCAAATGAGCTCTTCATGCGCAATTTATTTCCAAATAATTATGAAAGTAAAGAGAAATATTCTGCAAGCTTTATGATACCTTGACACAATCTGTCAGCCAGACCAATGCTGCTACAATTTGAGGCCATGTATGTGGTGCTCCCACTGTGTACATAGAGCTTTTTGACAAAGCAAAGGGATACCTATGAAAAATGGTCAAATTTTTACGGTAAAAATGTTAATATTAAAAACTGCATGCAGTTATAATATCGAGGAAGATAGTATATATTAATTTTATTTATTTATTTATTTATTTTATACCCCGCCTATCTGGCCCACCGGACCATTCTTAAGGATTGTATAATATGGATCTTTGTTTCCATCTGATTGTTTCATTACACAAAACTGTAAGAATAATTGTTCCCCATTTCTACATTTATGATAGGCACCTAAAGAATAGCAGCGAATGAGAGGACAATCCTTATCTTGGGATAAGACCTAGTGAATCCAATAGGAAGCACATCTGTGTAGGTATGCAGAAGATTTAAAATATCAGTGACTTTTAAATAATGAGCCAGCAGTGGCAACTGTTCAATAGTAATACTAATACAATATCAATACTAAATGTGAAATGATAGCCTGAAGTATATAATGGCCAGAATTAATCTGTGAAATATTACATATAATAATCCTCATCATACATCTAGTCAATACTGACTTATGGTGACCCTTTTCATGGTTTTCCAGGTAGAGAATATACAGAAGTGGTTTATCATTCCCTTCTTCAGGGGACATCTTGAGACTGTGCAGCTTGCCCAAGACCACACAGGCTGGCGCTACTAACAGGAGGCACAGCGGGGAATCGAACTATGCAGCCAGACACCCAAACATATATGGGAAATTTGCAGTTTTTGAAATTTTGTTACACATTCATGCATGTAACTAAAAAAATTCACCATAAATTAACGAAAAGTCAGATCAAAGCCAAATCAGGTTTGCACACGACTTAGGGCGTCCTATAACGAATCCAAGCATTTAGACCAGTTGCTGAGTCTTCGTTAATTTTTTGTGAATTTTTTCTTCCCCCATAGGAACCAATGGAGCTGTCAGATTTTGACAGCTGTCAAAAGTTGGGAAAAATTCACCATAAATTAACGAAAAGTCAGATCAAAGCCAAATTAACTTTTGCATCCGTTTTAGAGGGTGCAGAAGCTAATCCAAGCATTTAAAACCATTTTGACCCTTTTATGACACACTTAAATTTGCAAAAATTGACTTCGCAAAGCCATTGAAATGCATTGAGTCAGCTTCAATACATTCCAATGGAGGAAACATTGTATCGTTTAACGATGTTTCCTACGGGTTTTTTCGCTTAAGGATGGCAATCCGTGCCTATCGGAACGGATTAATCGGTTTCCAATGCATTCCTATGAGAAATGGTGTTTCACATAACGATGTTTCACATAACTTTTTTTTTGAACCAATTAAAATCGTTATGCGAGGCACCACTGTAGGTATGCAGAAGATTTAAAATATCAGTGACTTTTAAATAATGAGCCAGCAGTGCCAACTGTTCAATATTAATACTAATACAATATCAATACTAAATGTGAAATGATAGCCTGAAGTGTATAATGGCCAGAATTAATTTGTGAAATATCACATATAATAAATAATAATCATGCATAAGTATTGACTTATGGTGACCCTTTTCATGGTTTTCCAGGTAGAGAATACACAGAAGTGGTTTATCATTCCCTTCTTCAGGGGACATCTTGAGACTGTGCAGCTTGCCCAAGACCACACAGGCTGGCTCTACTAACAGGAGGCACAGCGGGGAATCGAACTATGCAGCCAGACACCCAAACATATATGAGAAATTTGCAGTTTTTGAAATTTTGTTACACATTCATGCATGTAACTGTGTACACAACCCATGTATGTCTGAGGCTCAAACAGCCAGAACACACACACACCATTTACACCGTTTGGAATTTATACGGCATAAATCCAAAAGGATTCTGTCCTTTATATAGAATGTACAGAAATGTTGTGTTTGCTTTTACATCACAAAAATGTCAACGAATGCAGTAATCATAAGGAATATCTTGGGTAGGTCACAGATAATAAAATCAATAATATAATCTTCAGTTTATAAAATACATTACAAGCATGACAGTGGTTGTCCCAAAAGTGATTGTAAGCTGTATGTTCTCCCTTAGTCAAAAGGTATATTATTCTGATACGTACCCAAGTTCTTTAAAAATTCTTGGGATCTCTTCTTCAAACTTTGTGCTAGGAAGTTCATAGGAAGGGCAAATAAGTTCATATATAAAACTGAAGATTTTCACAAAATCTTTAACAGATGGTGTCTGGAGTGACTTGACAGAGACAGTAGGACCATAGTCATATGTTGTAAGAAACTGACAGAAAAGACAGAAATACATCTATCACATATGTTAGATTTCAAGGCAGACGATACAACAGTTTGAAGTCATATATGATCCAAATTAGGGCCAACATTCAGTCTAAGAAATTTCCACTGATTTGTTACACTACTTCAAGGACTACACATATCTGCATGTAAACAAAAATTACTTCTGCAGGAAGACAGATTTTACTTAAAATGCGATGTTAGTCCTACCCTTGTGAAAAAGAAATTAGCACCTAGAACAGTGACAGCGGACCTTTTTGGGCTCGAGTGCCCAAACTGGAAAATAAAATAAAAATACTACTACTAATAAAAAACAGCGGGCAGAGGCGGAACTGGATGTGGCGGTGGAAGGGGGAATCCGGGGTATGGAGGTGCCTCAAGACCCAACTCTGGATCCGCCGCCATCATCAACTGCTCCAAATCCTGGCCCACTGCCTCTGCAGATTTGGCTGTGTGTGTAGCGCCAGCACCGCGGCTGCAGCTGCCTCCGCAGATTTGGCTGTGTGTGGGGGGAGTAGTGATCTGGCAACCAGCTGCTCTGCGTGCCAGCTGTGGCACGTGTGTCATAGGCTTGCCATCGCTGACCAAGAATCTATAACTTTTGGAAACAAACTGATTTTGCTTCTTTAGCCTATTTTCATCCTTTTTTTTAACCTTAGAAGATAAGGAGGATCATTTGTAGGCAAAATTTCAGTCAAACAATATGTTAACAATCTAGCCAACTAAAACCAATGAAATGTTGTCCAACTACAAGTAGTTTATTAATGTCACATACATCACAGAGTTGACGGATACATTGCTGAATAAATGCTTTGTCATGAAGTGGCCTAGGTTCCTTGATCTTTTCCATACTTCCAAATACACCATACTGGCTGTTTCGAAGGCTTCCAGGGCCACTGGACCTAGAATCACGACAGCAAGATCAGTTCAGTGCAACTCTTCATTGTCTTGCAAAAAAGAAAGAAAGAAAGAGCGAGCATGGGATTCTCAGAGATGTAAAGGACAGCTACATCTCTGTCTATTACACTCATTGTAATAGTACTTCTAAGCAAACACAAGAATTGTGCTCTGTCTATTACACTCATTGTAATAGTACTGTACTTCTAAGCAAACACAAGAATTGTGTTGCAGCATTTCTTCAAGCTGTGAAGAGAACTGTGAACCACCCTTCAGGTGCTTAAGCACTCACATGCCCATTTGCTTAATCAGATTGTGCCAAGAGAACACATATTGAGTACTGTTAGTGTGCTACATTACCTTTTGCCAAAAACACTAGTCCTCTTCTCTGAGGTTCCCACTGCATGTTTCCCGGTACTTAGCTTTCCAAAGGTTGTCCTCCGCTCTTGCCTTAAGAATATTGATTTGTACACATGAAAAACAATAGAATTTTGTCTACATTCCACTCAATCAAGTCTGCCAGTGCTATCAGTAAAATATATTCATGCATGCAATTACTTTTCCTCTTGATTCCCTTTTCTGCTGAAACTGATCTACTGTCATTTGGTATACACACATAAAGTGAGAGCACAGATCTCACTCCAATTACAAAACTCATAGCTTCATTTCAACAAAAAATGCCACAATTCCGACCTCTTCCAGCTCAGGTATGTGGGTCATTACTTAAAACTACATCTTGGCATAGTTTTGTTCTAGCACACTGCTAGTATCCCTGAACTACAATGTTTGATTTTGGTGAAACTCATCTCCTCCCTTACTCGGTCTCTTCTGTTCACTGAGTTTAATAAGTCACTTATGCCAACTGTATGAGATCAGCCAGTACAAGGGAACTCTGCAATAGAAGGACAGGTGTTCTGAAACAGAGGCATCTGCTCATTCAAAATCCATTACAATTAGTATACCTTTGAGTTAAGATTGTACTGCATGTGTTTATTTTTGTGTATTAGAACTTTGTGATATATGCTTTTAAAACTCCTGGCAAAATAAAAAGTAAGCAAGAGCAGAGCTTCACCCTTTTCAAAAAGTGTACTTAGGAAATAAAACAAACAAAACTCCATCACAGTAAAATTTCTACTGAAGAGTCATGTGGCACTATTAAAACTAACACATTTATGATAACAATCATCTTAGAAATGCAGATCTAGAAGGGATCATAGGGTCCAGCCCGTCAAGGAGGCAAGAATCAAACTCCCAACCCGTAACTCCACAGCCGGCAACCTAAACCACTGAGCTATTATTATATCAGGCGCTTCTGTGAACCGTTTACCATATTACAATACATGCATTTGTCTTAAAAGTGGCGAAGGTTTCTGCCACAATTAGTTAACACAGGTACTCCTTTGGTGAATATGACAGATACTGCCTCTTACGTCTGAGGTGTGTGGAGTCCTGCCTTGTTGGTATCATGCACCCTGAGAGGTTGGATGGACTGCCGGCAACTGATGCGGCTTGTGCTTGAGCTGCGCCTCATTGTTGGAAGACCAAACTGCAATATAAATAGGAATGAAAACTCTTATAGAAGTCTGCGGAGCTGACTGCAGGAGCATTTTTTTTCTTTGCCAGGACTGCTCTGGAAAGAACAAGTCAGTGGGATGGGGGAGCAGCTCCACCATCCAGATGAGGACATTGGAATTATTATTAGGAATTTGGTCAGTTTCATTTAGTTACACAATAGAAGTAGAGAAAGCTGAAGTAAGAATTCGCTACAAGTCTCCCCGCAAACCCACCCCTTTCATTATAGCCACCACTATATAAAAGGATCACTCTGAGACCACTTTCAGAAAAAATAAAATAAAATACACTTTTCCCTCAGTTTTCAGAGATTCCAAAATTAAAGAAATGAACAGAATCAAAAGTAGTAAGAGGAGATCCATACTGGATGAAATATTTATGTTGTCGCCTTCTCTGCAGGCACTCTTCCAAGCAACTGACTAACAAAATCAGCAGACGCGCTAATCAGGGAAAGGAAGATGACAGGAAAGGGAACTTTATTAATTTGGTTAGTGCTGAAACATAGGCAGTCAGTTTAGCCCAGGGAAAGACCCTCCCAACTTCACCTACTGCTAAACAACATGATCGCTAATTACAGTATCCAATAAATCCCGCATTCCCACCCAACCCCCCCGCCGCCTTCCATTGGGAACGCCAAGGAAACGGGCCTCTCGCTACCCGGCGACAGGAGAGGAGACGCCCGCGGCGGAGGAGCCCAGCGGCCGCGAATCCCACCCTCCGGGTTTGAGAGCGCTGCCTGACTCGCGGGAGAAACGCTGCCCACGTTCCTCGCAGGGAAGGCGGTAGCAGGCCCCGACAGGCTTGGTCCCTTGGCTGTAGAGCCCACCACAGATCGACCGGGGAAAAGAGCCCCACCAAATGCATAAGCTGACTTATTTCAGAGTAAAAAAATATATACAGATGACAAAGGAAGTCTTCTTTTTCACCCCGAACAAGCAGGAAAAGTGGAGACGGCTTGAAGAGATCGCCCTCACCCGCTGAAGCGAGGCCTATATAGTACCGGCGTCCGCTGTGGCGGCGGCAGTTTCTTTCTCGGCGCGCAAGCGGAGACGAGGGAAAGGCCCCAACGCTCGACCCGCCGGCGTCGCTTCCCTCAGAAATCCCTTCGTGCCGCTCCGCCCTCTCTCTTCTCACTTGTTTTTCAAAATTACCCGCCAGCGCACTACGTCAGCAGTTACGTTTTTCGCGTAAGAGAAAGGGGTGGACGGACGAGGGACAAAAGACGTCACTTCCTTCAAAAAACAGGAAGTCTGCGTGGATCGACAATTCAAGAGAAGAGTACTAGACTTATATCTCTATGGCTACATTGCCCTAGCTACGCAAGAGACCGAAGGACCGCTTAGGACCACGTGACTGGGCGTGGTTTTCCCGTGGATCGACAATTCAAGAGAAGAGTACTCGACTTCTATCTCTATGGCTACATTGCTCCAGCTACGCAAGAGACCGAAAGACCGCGTAAGACCACGTGATTGGGCGTGGTTTTCCCCGTTCCCGCCTTTCCGTAGGACAAAGTGGCTGCGCGCCCACGTGAGCAAAAAGGTTTTTCCTCGTGGGGGATTTTGGACTAGTTGGTGTCAGGTGGAGTTCTCTGGCCATCGTGGGTTGTGTTGTGTTTGCCCAGTGACTGGACGCAGTCAAGGCAGTATTCTAATCTCAAATGCACTTATTTTTGGGAGTAAGGTCCACTAAATTCCGCGGGGGATTTATTTCGGAATGAAACATGCTAATCGGACTGCATCGGCGAACTGAGAAGGCGGCGCTTTAGCTCTTCCCTCAGCCGCGAGCTCGCTTAATCGCTTAGTACGGATGCTCGTTGCCACTTAGGTTCAGTTCCCTTCATTTCCTTGTTATTTGAGGACAGTAACGTTCATCTATCTAGCGTACAATCAGATTACTTTTATTGGGCGTTAAGGCCCTCCCCAAGAGTATGTTACTTGCTGAGCATCCTAACGTGGCAGCATCCACACTTTAGAATTATTTTCCTTGTCATAAGGACTGCAAGAAGTATTGCACAGATATTTCTTTCTGTATTTAAATATGCTATGCAATCAAAATATTGTAGTGTATTTCGTCTTCTTTTGTTAAGCAAATACTTTAAATTTCTGCTTGATACCGTTTAAGGTTTGTTTGCCCCAGGGCTTTTCTGTTCTGTGGGATGTTATTTTTATGTTCTCTGTCTGACTCTGTGTCTTTTATAGATAAGTTGCCAAGGATGGCAGTTCACCTGTGATAAAGGAAGTTATCTTTTAAAGTTCTCACTCTCTCCTATTACAAGGAGAACACCACTGTTTACATAGTTGGTTGATAGGTAATTTTAAAAGCAATTTTGAAAGTTAGAACAAAAAGGCTAGCAGCAACTTAATGATACATAAGGGAAAAAAAGGAGATAAATTACCCAAACATGTCAGAACCATTGCTTAGAAGATAACCTTTGTTACTCGGATGCTTTTGAACTGCAACTCCCAGAAACCCCAGTCAGCACAGCAGGTGGTGAAGGCTTCTGGGAATTGCAGTCCAAAACTCCTGAGTAACCCAGGGTTAAGAACCAGTGGCTTAGATGATCAATTCTGGTAAAATGTTCCATTGACCAAGCATGGGGAATCTTCCTTTCCAGATGTTGCTAAACTACAATGCCTGTCATACCTGAGGACTTTTGAGAGGTGAAGTCCCACAACATCTGGAGAGCTGTAGCACTCCCATAGGCTATGGGAATGTTATAACAAAAGCTATACAATATGATCAGTTTAAATTTATTGAAGTGTAGATCTGCTAGATATGATTAGGTGGGCATATTGATATATCCTAATGTATATTAGGGCTTTGGCGTCAGAAAACTGATAAATAATTCTAAAAGACATCCTTTGTTTACAGATGTTCTAATCAGTAGTCATACACACTTGGATGAATAATGCCTTAAACAGCAGCGGCAGAAGCAAGCAATGTCTATAATATGTTCACAGCCAGCTGGGTGGATGCTGGACCACCTATCTTTCATAAACAAGTCTGTTTGCCAGATGTGCCATTCCCATGACCACTCTGCCTGGGCCACTTTGGATAATACTGCTGCTTCATCAGATGCCAATCTTAGTGTTCCTGAGACCCTGCAGAGTGAAGTTTCTATTTCTGGGTTGAAAGTTGCAGGAGAAGAATTACATCCGTTGCAAGAGGAGAAATATGTATTTCGGGAAGAATTTTTTAATATCTTCAAGCCCCATATCTCAGACCTTGAAACAGAACTTTGCCAAAAGAACTCTCAGATTGATCGAGAAAATGGAATATTTGAACAGGACAGAGCCAAGAGTGGTGATTTCTATTTTACGGCTAAAGCTAAAAAGGTACAGTATGCTACCAAGGATAACCCCCTGCAGCAGAATTTTTCAGAGCTGTTTAAGAAAGAGCAACAGTTCCCCAACTGATTCATTATGGAGTAATTAAAGACTCCACCTGGAACTCAGTATTCTTTTTTTTTCAGCAGTGAAAGAGCCCCAGGAGGCTTCTGAAAGTGGCACGAGGGGGGGGGGCTCTGGGGTAGCGGGCCTGCCCCTGCCACACCCCACCCACCCCGGCAAAGTGCAGGTTTCAGAGGCTTTCCGAGTGCATTTCCACTGCCTGTTTACCTGCTGGGCAAGCCTGGGGAAGCTTCTAAGAGCAGCACCGATCAGCTGTGAGGTGGGGAGGGGGAGGGGCTGGAGCGGAGAAGATGGCTCCCGGCTCTTTTCTGAGACGGATTCCTCGCAAGAAATGGGACGTTTGCGATGATCGCTTCCCCCCCCATCATCGCAAACACCCCATTTTCGCACAGCTGATTTTCCCCATAGGGAACATCGTAATGCAATCGCTTTTGCGATCGCAAAATCTTCATCGCTATGCGGATTCGTCGTTAAACAGGGCGCCCGTTAAGCGAGGCACCGCTGTATGACACTGTGACGTTCCTCTTTCACGTCACAGTGGTAAGGACACTCTCTCATTCACACTTTATTTACGCTGCCACCAAGCACTCCTTCATAAGACTCTGCAGACAAATGTATGATTCTAAAATAAAGACTTGTATTTTATTGATAACAGAAGGAATGGTAAATCACTTTATCAACTAAAATAAAAAGGCAATCAGTAATAATAAAGTATCCCCTCATACACACTATCACTCAGACCTTAACTCTTCATGACTCTTAACTCCTAACTAACTGACTCACATCATTCACTCCCCCCCTTTATATCCACAGCTCTACCTCCTGGAGTCCCACCTCCTGCTCTGCTATAGGCAGATGGGCTCCAGCATAACCATGATAGGCAGGTGACGTCATCGCAGCCGTCACAGACACTAACTTGCATATTACTGCACATATTACTGTGTAGTTCCATTGTACTCTTGAAAAATACAAAAGCCAGGGCTTTGATCAGTTTGGCATGGTTTGCTTTAAGAATGCCTTCCTGATAGTTGTAAATTGTTAGCACTTCAGGGACACAATAGTAACAAGGCTAATTAATTCACCCATGCTCATTGTCAATGCTCATTTAATTTTAACACTTATTGGCTTCAGTTTAAAGAATTTTGTATAGAACAAAAATATTCTGTGTGTCAGCTGCGTGGGTTTTTCTGCTACAAGAATTCCAGTGAAATGAAGGTCAGTCATGTAGCTCTGCTTTCTCTTTGGTAAGAGGTATGTTTGATTATGAAAGTAGATAATTAGAATTACAGGCTAAACATATGGATCATATCGGATTGGGGAAAGCTGTATTCTGTCTCCAACAGTGGACAGCCATGTACTTCTGAGATGGGGCATGGAAATAAATAATAGACCTCCCCTGCTTCTGCCTCCCAGTATTTAGAGATGTGCTTCTCCTGGAAAGGATTCTTCCATTTACTTGCTGTGGCAAATAGCCAAAATGAATCCTCTGACGAATTTAAGAACCACTTTAAGAAGGAATTCATTGGAGGATTTAACTGCATGATCATGACTGAATTTCATTTGCACTGTGTAAGACTAATGACATCCTTGGCCACACCTATTTTCTGGAAATTTGACATTTCCGGTTTCTCCCTTGATGGACCGGTGGCTCCTGTGTAATCGTTTTCATCATTGGGAAGTTTTTGGGAGCCATGAGTTGTGTGTGTGTGTGTGTGAGAGAGAGTCAGTGTGTGTCTTTAGTTACCAGAAATGCTTCCCCTTACGGTAGTATCCCATGATTCCCAACAACTTCCTGATGATGCAGATCCCTGCAGCTGAGTAATCCTCATCTGCTTTATGTGGCGTAACTCACACAACAGGATTTCTGTTAGTGTATTCCAAAAGGAATACACTTAAATGTGCTTTTTGCAAAATAATATTTCTGTGTGTTTTGATCCTACTGCTGAAGGATTTTATTGTATACCTCTATCATAAAGTTATTTCCATCCTATTAAATGTTTTTATTCCTGAAGTGTTGCTTTTCTTTGCCTCAGAACAGGGAGGACATTTGCACTTAATGGTCATGCCTCGACTATTAAGTGTAGTTCACTAATTATAAGAAAGTTCTGTTATAGGGACTTAATCCTGGATAACTGGCTGCTCAGAGGAAAGTTAAAGGACTTTGTGATTCCAGCTAGGGGTTGGCAAAGTTGTCAGGCATAGGAACCGTATCAGGCAGATGATAAGTGTGGTTCCTCTTGGATATCAGCAGAATGTGTGGTCCAGTTTCACTACAGGGCAGAGCTCTGTAATGTTGGTAACATGCATATTTTAGACTGCAGGTTCATCACAAAAATCTACTTTTACCTATATATACACGTGAAGGATTGTTGAGAACATAATTAACAATTGTAAACAAAAGCATTGCCGATACTTATTTTATGTATGTATCCAATTCTAGAAACGGAAGAGGAGCAGTGACCTTAACCAGGGGGAGCGTGATGCTTTAGAATACCATTTAAAGGTAAGCACGGAAAATAAGTGGAAGTGAAGTCTGTTTTGTCAACTTGCTCAGTTCCATCATTACTGCAGAAAATGTGGCACACTTGTGCATTTATCCTGAGTAAAGGCTTACTGTGTTAACTGATGCTTACGGTATAAAGGGCTCACGTGAAAACATGAATGTTGAAATATTTTGCTTGGCATTTTCAAAGAAAAGTTTATTGATTGAAGTTTCAGCTGGAAACAACATGCTTTCACTGTTTTAAGAGCAGTGAGAGTTGATATTTTCAGCTGCTCCCTGTCCACTGGGAAAAGAAATTGGCACAGAGCAATTTATAGAGGGATTATTCAAGGGGAAATAACTCACTAATCCTCCAGCTGGGAAGCAATAAAAATGCTTGAGTTGGGAAAGAGAAGGTTTTGTAAGTGCTTTGTCAACAATGGACAGGCTATAATAATGCTACATAGTCACAGTGCTACTGAGGATTTAGGTTGGTATAAATAGGTAAAGGTTCCCCTTGACATTTAGTCTAGTCATGTCCGGCTCTAAGGGGCGGTGCTCATCCCCGTTTCCAAGCCATAGAGCCAGCATTTGTCCGAAGACAGTTTCTGTGGTCATGTGGCCAACACAACTAGACATGAAATGCAGTTACCTTCCCACCGTGGTGGTACCTAATTATCTACTTGCATTTTACATGCTTTCAAACTGCTAGGTTGGCAGGAGCTGGGACAAGTAACGGGAGCTCACTCTGTTGCGTGGATTCGATCTTAAGATTCCAAAAGATCTCCTGTATGGAGAATTAGTGCAGGGAAATCGCCCCAGAGGGAGACCACAGCTGCGATACAAGGTTATCTGCAAATGGGATCTGAAGGCCTTAGGAATGGACCTCAACAGATGGGAAACCCTGACATCTGAGCGTTCAGCCTGGAGGCAGGCATTGCATCATGGCCTCTCCCATTTTGAAGTGACACTTGTCCAGCAGGCCGAGGCAAAGGACAGTCCCGAAACCAACCAAATCAGGGAGCTTGACGGGACAGATTTGTCTTCGGTGTGGAAGGGATTGTCACTCTCGAATTGGCCTTCCTCCACACAGAGCGTGTTACCATAGTCTCTCGAGACTGATGGATGCCTAAATGAATGATGAAACACTAAATCAGATTGCTGCTAATTAACAAGTTGCTGTTTGTATCTTGGTTGCTTTGCAACTTAGTCTGCAACTAGCAGTGTGAATACGAGAATGAGATGGTTGGACGGTGTCATCGAAGGTAACAACATGAATTTGACCAAACTCCGGGAGGCAGTGGCGTGCTCTGGTCCATGGGGTCACAAAGATTCGGGCACGACTTAATGACTAAACAACAACAAGCAGTGTGAATGGCAATTTAACTAATTAACAGCAACTCCTAGACCCAGTGCATGCAATTACAGATTTGCTAGTGTAAATCCTCAATAGGATTTTGGCCCCCATTTTATCTCCAAAAATCATGAGCAAACGTTGGGGTTTTCTGCCATATTTTCTTCCATGTAGCCTTGCTGCTTCCCAAAAGCTCTCTGAAGGCTTGGGGGTAGGGTGATCTTCTTGAACAGGGTAGGCAGAACTTTTCTTGCCTCCATCTCTCTTGTGTCACCAGCCATAATATTTTCTAATGTCATCTCTTCCTATGCATGCATAAAAGTGGTCTGTTTTTAATTGGAATATTTCTACAGTTTTAATTGTTTATGTGTAAAGACAAGAATTGTTCTTTCTCAAATATTTAGTGACAGTGGTACAAAGCAATAAATATGCATATTGTTTAATTGTCCTCATATATATATATTTTAAAAATTCAGACCTGTATTGCAATGGGTTATTGTCATTAACATGGAAATGACTAATTGGGGTTCTCTTATTTACAAACAGCAGATTCAAAAATCTGCAAATATTAACATATGGAACTTTCATTTACTTTTTTATGGATGTCCCATTTCAGATGTTTTTCTCTTCTGTCCTTTCTTGCTTTACAGGTCAGTGGTGTGATTTTGGATGGCACCAGACATTTAGTCCAAGAGGGGCTCAAAATGGGTTTTCTCCAGTGCAGTTGTTCAAGACAGCATTGTGCCAAAACTCCAGTTAGTGGACACAGCGATTGTGGTTTAGCTGAATTGTGTGAGATGGCAAAGCAGTTTCCTCCTGTGTCTGAAGAAGAACAAACTAGATGCACGATAAATGAGAAGGCATCTGTTCCTGAACAAATTCAGCTCTCCTGTGTTACAGAAAACAACACAAACCATGCAAAGATAATAGCACTGATGGGACAGAAGTATTTGTTCCCTCCGCAAAGTGCTTTTCTTTTGTCTGATATTTCTGTTATGCAGCCACTTTTGGACTGTAAGTATATTTCCTATTAAAATGATTTGTTGATCAGTGATTAATTAATATTTGGATAGAGCACATTTGACTAGATATGGAGAGGAAGGCATTTCGCAAAAAACAACCAGCTTGTATTCTTGAGCATAACACTTATTTTATTAGAAACAGTATTTTCTGGAGACCCCAATCCCTGCCCCCATCCAGTTTCTCAGGTAGTCTCACCGGTCCACCTTCACATCTTTGCTTTACATAATGTGAGGTATTTGAGGAATGATAATGTAATACATGTGCTGTGGAACAGAATCATACACTCTTTGAAGCTGACATGATGGCCTGTTAGTTTTGCATGAACATGAAATAGACTAATAAGATCAATCAGACATATATCTGTAAATGTTAGTAAAAACATGAACATGAACATGGTGATTTTTTTGCATTCCTTACCCCCCAAAAAATATTGCCTTAAAAGAAGCAAAAAACAAAACAAAAAACAACCCTTTTTCTTTGAAAAATTTTGTTCCTTAGGTGCTTAGGATTTGAAAAGCAGTTTTATGCTTTATTTTAAATAATGTTAAATATATGTTTTATTGTGGTTACTAAAAAAAACTTAACAAGTTTTGCTTTCTTTCTAGATAATAAAAAATTTGGTGTAATTGTGATAGATCCACCCTGGGAAAACAAGTCTGTTAAAAGAAGTAAAAGGTAATTTACATTAAGCAGCTCTCGTTTATATTTTAACAATGCAACACTCTTTCAGTATGTGTCCATTTGGTCAACTGACATCTTAGGGCTCTACTGGTGCAGTAAAAAGGAGACAGGCATTTGCAGTGTGGTCTCTACACCAGAGACTGGACTCTCTTGTAAAGTGTTAGAGGATTCAGCTAGGGCTGATTTCTGGAACATTTTCATTTTATTCCTCTTTTCTGCTTAGAATTCTCAGATGTAACAAATTTGGATGCCCATAATTCTGCTGTTAGAATGCATGGATCTAATTCACCAACTGCAGTTTGTATTAGGGGAAGAATTCAATTGAATCATTTTATTACTAACCTTTTAATATTAATGGAGAATTGGGTTTTAGTATTAACGGGCAATTGGTTCTGAAAGCCTTCGCGAATACATTGGTTCTGAAAGCTTTGTAAAAATAATGCAGTGGTTATGTTGGCAACAGCTGTGGATGAGGTTGTAACCTGTTAGCAGTGGAATGTATTTTGAGATTATCATAGCACATCAAGTTGTCTTTTCTTTAGTCAAAACATTTTGCTCATTTGTTGTTATGTGTTAAGTTTTCTTCGATTTACGGTGATCCTATGAGTGATCTCCAAAATGGCTCATAGGTTCAGTTTTCCTTTACAATCTATCTCTTAGTGCCATGCTGTTTTCAGGGTTAATAATAATAATGAATGGGGTCAATACCTGTGAAATGTTTTGAGAAATTAGAGCTACCCAAGCCTACTACTAATCAATTTACATTTTACAAAAGGTATAAGGCATGACAAAACTAGTGTCTGAACTAGGTACAGTCATACCGTTTAGTCCAAATTAAGTAAAAGTTGCTCATTTTTAAACATAATGATCTAAGAATTAAAATCAATATTATTTGAACATCTGCTTAAATTTATGATTAGAAGGGATCTGGGGTCAGGGTGCAATATGTTAGCTGCCTCAGGTGGCAGAAATAGAGAGAAGGCAGGGGACAGTAATGGCCTCCAGCCATTTTTTATTAGCCTTATGGTCATTTCTCTTGCCCCTTAACTAGACTGCAGCCCAAGCTGTACTGGGGTTACACGTGTTGAATTGAGATCAAGTGGCAATCCATTTGGCTTCTGTATATGGAAAGAAGAGGTGTCCTATTTCATTCTTTGTCTCCCGTGGTAATATATTTTGTGCTGGCCTTGCTAGGAATACATATAAATAGTTTCTACAGAATACAAACTTAACAGTTATTTGCAAATTAGGTAGAAAAGCCTAATAGCAAAATATAGATGGAGTTCAACAATTCTCGTTAGGCCTCCGTTTTAATACAGATCCATAGGTTTCTGTGGATAGGTAATTTAGTTACTCCAAGTGTGCAGTCTAGGAGACACCAAATTTTTTAGCTATTCTTAGACTTGTGTCTCCAGAAATGTGAACTTGTTAACAGCAGTATTCAAAAATGGCAAGTAAGAGACCTGATGGCCTGTATTTTCCAGCTCTGACTAAAGCTATTCCTGAAGCTTTTTTCTCTTGACATGATATAATGTCAATATTTTTATGAAGCCTTACTGAAATCTCCAGGATTGCTTTCAGTAGTTTTCTTGAGTAACGCTATTCCCTTAAGTAGTGATTGTCCCTCTTTAGCTTTGTGTTGACAAACCTGAGTCCTTACCCTTCTCTAAAGAACTGGAAATGTCAGTGAGCAGAGGAGGTAGAATCCGTCTGGACAAGGGGATAGAGGGGAAACATATGTTTAGGTTATAGCAAGCAAAAATGTATTTCCGTTGTCTCTGGGAATCCCACAAGGAGGTCTACTCCGAACCCCATGTTGTTTCCTGGGAACTGTGACTCAGAAGGCATCATCCCTCTGATTCATGAGGTGATTTACAGCAATCAGCTAGTCATTAGTAGCCTCATCTTCCACAGATTTGATAAACCTTGTGAAAGCAAACATCGTAATATAACTGTGTGAAAACCTTGAAATACTGAAAAATTGTCTTGTAATCTAGAGTGAAAATGTAGTTTGTTGGCACCATTCATCATCCCTAAATATTGGCAATGTTAGTCTGAATGGATAGAAATGAGAGGCCAAGAATATGGACGCCCATAGGCTTCCCATTCCAGACATGTCATATTCTGGATTGCAGAGAAACAGTTCAGTAAAGCATATATTTAGAAACTTAATTTCACCAAACATCTGATTTTAGAAATGGAAGGATGTTTTAATCTGTATGGTTGATCAGAATGAAGCCGTTCTTACTGCAACAGATTTCACCACTAGATGTCACTCTTTCTTCACTCTTGATAGACTGATAGCTGTTTCAATGTAGGTTTTTTTGGGGGGGGGATTACAAAAGATTGGTAGACTTCCTGGCTTTGACACAGTCTTCATGAATTTATCCATTTGTAGGTACAGTTACTTGTCTCATTGGCAAATTAAGCAAATTCCTGTCCCAGCTCTGGCAGCACCAGATTGTCTTGTGGTTACGTGGGTGACGAACAGACAGAAGCATCTACAATTTGTAAAGAGTGAACTTTATCCATTCTGGTCTGTGCATGGAATAGTGGAATGGTTCTGGGTGAAAGTAAGTTTTCTAGAACTTTTAAGAACTTGCTTTTCTATATGCTTTTAAATCAGGGGTCTCAAACTCAATTTACCTGGGGGCCGCTGGAAGCAGAGTCTGGCTGAGGCTGGGCCGCATCAGATTTTCTGCCAAGTGGAGCAAGGGCCCAAGGAAGCTGCCCAGGAGTTTCCTTAGCCTGGCTGGGGCTCTGAGGAGGAGGAGGAGGAGGGGAGGGGTGCACGAGCTGTCTTGGGAGAGAGCCAGCGAGCAAGGCTTTTTTGACTTTTGACAGCAGAGGCCACATGGATGCTTCAGGGGGGCAGGCAAGGAAGGGGCCACAAACTATCATCCGGCGGGCCGCAAATGGCCCCCCGGGCCGCATGTTTGAGACCCATTTTAAATGTTTCTTTCCCCAAAACTATTTGTATTGGTAGCGTTAGGTGTATGCTGATGTTTAAGAATTTTACTTTTTTTCCTAGTTTTTAATTTTTATATTCAGAGTTTTTCATATTTTCTTCTGAAGGTATCTTTCCCAAATTAAATAACTATTACAGGGAAGTTGTATGCCTCAACCTTGGACTGGCTTCGGGTTTGTAAATAATACTTTTGTTTAAAAACTCTGGTTACAATCTATTTTTATTTCACTTGTATATCTTCTAGTTTGTGTGTAGACTAGACAACGGGTAGACAGCATGAAAACTTTGCGATCTACCACTCAATCTCCTACAGATCTATAGTTGATCCCCAAGAGTTTCTGACTTACTTCCTCTTTATGGGAAATTTATACATATTCATTTGTCTCCCACTTTCTTTATTCTTGTAGCTTTGGCTACCAATAATTAGAAACTGTTGGGAGAATCTACCGGTATGTCCACTGCTGCACACAACTTCCTCTTGATTTCTATTGCTTCTGTCCTGGAATCCCAGACAGATGTGCTTCCACCTGTAGAGTTCTCAATTCTTTGTTGCTTCCCTGTCATTATTTGTACATATTCTATCTTTCAAGTGGTTTTTCATATCTTTTAAACACTCCAGCCCCATCCAAAGATCTGACAGATTAATCTGTCCTTATTGCTCGTCACTGCTGGCTGAATAACTCCGTGGTTTAGATAGCTAGCTGCGGAGCCAGAGGTTGGAAGTTCAATTTTCCACTGTGCTTTCTGTGAGTAGAGCCACCCTGTGTGGAGTTGAGCAAGTTCCAGGATGCCCCCCCACCCCCGCCAGAAGAAGGGAATGGCAAACCACTTCTGAGTATTCTCTACCTGAAAGACTCTGCAAAGGATCACCTTAAGTCAGAATTGACTTGATAGCACATTATTATTATTGCTTGCCAAAGCCATGGAGAGTAAGGTAAAGGTTCCCCTTGCCATTTAGTCCAGTCGTGTCTGACTCTAGGGGGCGGTGCTCATCCCAATTTCCAAGCCGAAGAGCCAGCGTTTGTCCGTAGACAGTTTCCGTGGTCACGTGGCCAGCGCGACTAAGGTTTCCCGTATTCTGCCAGATCTTTCTTATTTATTTATTTATTTTTAATTTTTATTTATACCCCGCCCATCTGGCCTAAAAGGCCACTCTAGTATTAAAAACAAGTCCTTAAATCCTAGTTACTTTCAATAAAACAAAGGTTATGGCATTTGTTTTATTGGCATTTTTGACTAGCAAGTGCAAAAGAGTTTGAAGCTTCCAGAAGATTTTCCCAAAAAGTTGTACGTGTATATTTTTCTGTCCCTGTATGAGGGCTGTGAGGTGCTTCAGGCTATTCGTAAGCTTCCATTTTCTGTTCTCAGATGGTAGACAATTTAAGATTGAAGACTGTTCACATCTGGACTTAGCTGAGATAGGAGGTTTACTAGGGGAAATAAATTGGTGAAATATGTAGTTTGACTTATAATAATCATTTTTTATTTTTGCTTCAGATAACAAGGTCTGGAGAGTTTGTGTTTCCGTTAGATTCTTTTCACAAGAAGCCATATGAGATTCTTGTTCTGGGCCGAGTCCAGCGACATAAACATGTACCATTAAGGTATGAGTCCATTGATTTATCTGTATTATTTATTGCATATTATTTTTGTATGGGATTCATTAAGAATGCTCAGCTGAAATTGCAGACAGCTTTCAAGGAGTGAGGAATGGCCTTTCTTAACAAAATAGTCTAAAGAGTGATGCACATTTGTGCTCCAACCTCTGAAAGACTAGATTTAAAGAAGCTGTATAATATCCTGGTCTTTCTCCCCTATTTCCTTTTTGATCTCTTGTTTAGTTCTCTATTTCTCATAATGCTGAAAACATTCAGGTTTTCCCAGGCATTTTTTGGCAAGCATTTTGAGCAGATGCCTTTAATTGATGAGCCAATTATTATTAAATAGTTGGTTGGGATGTCAGTTCTGGGCCAAGATCATTAGCTGCTTTGAGTGTTCTTTGCATTGGAAAAGCAGCATGGAAGAACCTTAAATAAATAAATGTTTCTCTTCCCTCTGAACCCATTGGTGTAAGCAAAAATAGAAGTTGCACTGCACAGAGCAACAGGATGATAGAATGGGTTTGTGCTACAAAGTCAGTTATATTGCCTTATCATTATCTGCTCTTGAAATTCATCCGTCTTCCATTAACATGTGGGCTGCTCCTGCTGTTGTTAATAGCAACAATAACCAAGAAAAGTTGAAGTCCCTTGAGCTCAAGAACTAGTTTTAGACTTTTTTGGCTCCTTGGCAGAGTTTGTAAAAGGCTGAAAATGGTTGATTTAATCTAGTTCCTTGAGCTTCTACGTAGGTAGATAAAGTACCTAGCATTCACTCAGGGAGGAAAGGATCATCACAGTATAGTAGGAACCCTGGTAACATTATATAAACTAGGTAGCTCCTATAGTTTTCTTACCTTATACCAATTCATTTTATGTTAACCCTGCAGGGCTGTTGCTGCTGCTGCCAAATGGATCTTCTGTTCTCTTGAATTAAATATAGATCTTTTGTTAAGGGCAGGCAATATTCTACAGTTGAAACACATATTGTTTGTGCTGTATTTATCTTTTTACTATAGTCTTATTTCTTTATTGGTCTTTTTTTTCAGAACCTTAAGAAATTTCATAAGCTGCCCTTTATTTTTCAAGGAAACAGATACGTTAAGCATTTGGATATTTAGCTTTCCGATAGCTTACTGTCTAGCGTGAAAAATGTTCTGTGGGGTGGGGGAACAGCTGTGAAAGTGTCGATCTTTATCCAGGTATTTCTGTTTTTCTTTGAGACTCTCACTTTTATTTTGCTGTGATTTATGCAACAGGACTTCAGAAGATGAAATGCCTCCAGCAATTCCAGATCAAAAATTAATTGTGAGTGTACCCTGTACTCTCCACTCACATAAACCTCCTCTTACAGGTATGTTCTTAAAATACCTCCATGATATTGTATATTTTTAGGGATCCATGTTTTATATTATTGATAAAGCTGTAGGGATAGGCAGCAACATGAATATTTTTATTGTTTCTGTCACTACTTTCTGACCATCAGTCATTTGCCATTGACATTAGTGAGAAATTGCTGACAGTTCTGCCATTTTTTCCTCAGGTGCTTAACTGAAGTTTAGTTGCTATATCAGACCCCCTAGCTGGATATTTCTGATTACCCAGATTATTATATTAAATCACTACTTTATGCTTTGCCATTTTTAAAATTAGTTTGGTCTTCACATTGTGATTGACTGCCAGATTATAGTCCGCTTTTTTCCTGGGAAGGTGTACTTGCAGTGTGTTCCAGCTAGAGTGCAGTGTAGGTGTATCTCTTAAGGTGCTAGTTAAAGAAATTCAAGAAATATAATTTGGCAGTAGGATTCTTGATCTTGACCCATACTTCCCCAAACGTGGGTGGCTGTTTCTAAAAATTACAACTTTTATCTTATGGTAGGAAGGAAGTTCAGTTTAAATGAATTGAATTACTGCTTCTTGAGCTTGCTGTTCTTGGGCATAGTTGGCAATGATACTTCACAATACAGGAAATGCAGAAAGATTCCAGAAAGAAAGTTTTTCCCTATTCCTTGTTCTACTTTTACTTTGTGTGCACACTTGCCTTCTGGATTCTTATGCTCATGATCCATGATTCCAGTATCTTTCTAAGAAGGCACTTAGGTGCAGCATACTAGCTCAGATGTATCCTCATCGATAGATTAAAAATGACAAATAATGCCATAAAATTGGGCTGGAACAGGGTGCTAGACCTTAATATGTAACATCTGTTGATACTGTGCAGTCGTGGGGCTGTTGAAAAGTCACCAGTGCCCAGTGCGTCTGCATTGTCAGTGACCTACAATAGCCATTCAACAGCCACAGGCTGGCATGATACAACATGACCCTTCAGCACTGCCATTTCCTGGTATGGCTATAGAGCCCTTGGTGGCAACTCCTTCAAGTTGCCATGGCAGATTAGTAAGACCAAAGCTTATAATTGCTTTTTTAAATTTTGATATGTTGATTCTAATTAGAGTTTACATTAGAAATCAGAATAATAGAATAATTGAGTTTGAAGGGTCTATAAGGCCATTGGTCCAATCCCCTCCTCAATGCAGGAATCCAAGTCAAAGCAGATCTGACAGGTGGTTATCCAGTTTTCTTTTGAATACCTTCAGCGTTGCAGCACTCACTACCTCCCGGAGTAATGGGTTCCATTGTTGTACTGCTCTAATAGTTAAGAAGTTTTTTTTCCTGATAATTCAAGCAAAATCTGGCTTCCTGTAACTTTTGCTCATTATATTCTGCACTCTGGGATGATCGAGAACAGATCTTGTCCCTCTATATATGACTACCTTTTAAGTATTTGAAAAGTGCTATCATATCTCCCCTCAGTCTTCTTTTCTCAAGGCTAAACATGCCCAGTTTTTTTCAGTCTTACCTCATAGGGCTTGATTTCCAGTGCCCTGATCATCCTTGTTGGCTTCCTCTGATCTTGCTCCAGTTTGTTGGCATCCTTCTTGAAGTATGGTGTCCAGAATTGGACACAGTACTCTAGATGATGCTTAACCAGTCCTGAATAGAGGAGGGTGAGTACCTCACAGATTTTGGAGACTATACTTCTGTTAGGTAAAGGCAAATGTTCCCCTTGACAATTTTTGTCCAGTCATGTTCGACTCTAGGGGGTGATGCTCATCCCCGTTTCCAAGCCATAGCGTTTGTCCGAAGACAAACTTCCGTGGTCACATGGGCAGTGCGACTTAAGACACGGAATGCTGTTACCTTCCCACTGAACTGGTTCCTATTGATCTACTCACATTTACATGCTTTCGAACCGCTAGGTTGGCAGGAGCTGGGACAGTTGACTGGAGCTCACTCTGTCGTGTGGATTCGATCTTACGACTGCTTGGTCTTTTGACCCTGCAGCACAGGCTTCTGTGGTTTAGCCTGCAGCGCCACCACGTCCCTATACTTCTGTTAAGGCAGCCTAAAATAGCATTTGCATTTTTTTTTTTTGCAGCCACATCTCACTGTTGGCTCATAATCAGCTTTTGATCTACAACAATTCCAAGATCCTTCTCACTCACAGTACTACTGAACCAAGTATCCCTCATCTTGTAACTTGTGCATTTTTCCCTCCCTCGATGTAGGACTTTGCATTTATCCCTATTAAATTTCATTCTATTGTTTTCAGCTCAGTACTGAAGCCTATCAAGGTCTTTTTGAATTGTGTTCCTTCTCTTCCATATCCAAATATGGATAATACTAAGCCTATCAAAGTCTTTTTGAATTTTGTTCCTTCTCTTCCAAGACATTAGCTATTCCACACAACTTTGTCATCTCCATATTTGATGAGTATTCCCTGCATTTCCTCATTCAAGTCATTAATAAAACTGCTGAAGTGCATTGGGCCCAGGATTGAGTCTTGGGGTACCCCACTTGTTACCTTCTCCCAGTTTGAGAAGAAAACAGGTTTGCCTTTGTATCTACTCACATATTCCTTAAGGCAGGGATAAGAAACCTGCTGTCTTCCAAATGCTGCTGAACTGAAGCTCTCAGTATGCCTGACAGTGGATTATACTGGTTGGAAGTTAGGGGATTTGAAGTACCACAGCATCTGGAGGACTGCAGGTTCCACCCCACTGCTCAGAAGCTTGGGAAAAGATGCATAGCCTATATTGGCAATATTTTCTAAATGTTACATTCTTTTAGTTGCAACAGAGCCCTCAGTAACATAGGCATAGGTTAAAACAAAGAAGAACAGGTTTTTTTTCTTACTTCTGTGAAGAGTGATTTACTTAAAGAAAAATAACCTAATATGTTTTCATATTGTTGTGTACCAAAAATATTTTTAGTGATCAAGGGAGATGTGAGGGGATGTTTTCAGCGCCTCCTTTAAAAGAAAGCTTTGAGAAATGTAAAAAAAGTCAAACAGTTTGAAATCTTTTGTAAAGCTTAGAAAGAAACCCAACAAGAAGTGTCATAATCCTGCTACAAACAGTAAGTTCATATTGCCAAAAAAAGAAAGGCTATAACAGAGTAAGGAAATATCCAAACAAGGAAAGCCTGACAAATCAATATTGAATGCCTTCTGTATATAAAAAGTTTTAAGACCAGTATCCTGTGGCGAAGGCACAGCTAACTCTTCTTGGAGAAAGTTGTGAAGAGTTCAGCCATGATTGTCCAGGTTTTTAACCTGTCCAGATTTTTTTTTCAGAAAAGAGGAGCTGTCATTTGGTATCCTAATGTAGAATAAATCATTTCTTTTAAGTAAGCCAAGAAAGACACTGTTAATGAAGGAGACCACTTCTTTAGAGAGTATCAACAAGAATTGTGTCTTTTTGTTTTTGTTTTTAATCTGACCACCTAGAAGACTTTGTAATCATATGTTTTGTTTTATTGGAGGAAGAGGCACTGGTTAGATGTTCTGGTTTCCATTTCCACTTCGTGTCAGACCCTTGGCACAACTCAAAATCTGGCACATAGCTGAGCCTGAATCAGGGGGTGGGGACTGCTTCTAAGGTTTGCATACAACTGCTCAGAAAAATAGATATGAAGTTCAGGTGGCTGAATTCAGGATAGAGATTGATGGGTGTGCTTCATACTTTCATCAGTTGGCATAGAAAAGCAGAATAAAATATATGCAATAATGAAAAACAGCTATCTGTATTTGCCAGTAGAGGGAAGTGGTTCCAAATTCCTGTCCTATTTTGGGCAACATGAAAAGGAGCAAGACTTTGGGATGAGACAGAGGAAATCCCACTCAACCACATATCTCATTGTTTTGTTTTAAAGGAACTACCAGAGCAATGGTACAGCTTGCTGGATAGCTCAGTGGGTTAGGTATCTGGTTGCAGAGCCAGCGGTTTGGAGTTCAATTCCCCGCTGTGCCTCCTGCGAGTAGAGTGAGCCTGTTTTGCCTAGGGCGTGCTGCACAGTCCTAGGGCGCCCCCAGAAGAAGGGAATAGTGCACCATTTCTGAGAATTCTCTACCTGGTAAATCCTGAAAAGGGCCACCATAAGTCAGTATTAATTTGACAGCACGTGATTATTATTAGAACAATGAAATTATTACTTGCTACCACATTAGAGTGGTTTAGCTCTTCTTATGGCTGCAGAGTACTGTTGTTGATATATATGATGCTATTTAATGAAGATTATAACAATTTATTTCTGTCCAATAAGAGGAATTTGCAAATTAAAGTAAGTTATCAAAAAGAAATATATTGTTTCCTGCAGCGCATAGAACAATAACATGTCTCCAGGATTATAGAGTGGTACATGTTCTGTGTTTAATGCTCACAGAACTGATGTGTCATTCTAAATGTGTTTAAACTATTCTGTGCTAAGTATGAATTTGAAAATTCAACTTAGGTTGTCCTTTTATTCTTCTAGTTCAGCACCTTGTAGGAGAAAGAAAATAAATTATTGTAACACAAAGTAACAAACATTTCATGCATCAGAGAAAAGAGGCAGTCCTCCATAGAAACTTATTCTATAATGATTTTTTAAGTGTTTAAGATGTCATGATAATTTTGGGTTTTTTGCTACAACAGATTAGCAGGGCTGCCCTTGTAGAAAGGTGTTTGAGCTTTAGCTGTAGGAGATATTAATTTGCAATATGTTTTTATCCTGCACCTCAGCTGAAAACAATCATGCAGCTGCTTACATGCAGTCAGTTTTAAGGAAAGGTAATGTGCTGTGGCCTGGAGAATATAAGTAAAAAAAAAGATAAGACCCAAAAAGAAAAAAGGCATGAGGAGGAAAGAGGAGATCCACGACTCCTGTGCTTCTAGCAGAGCTGCTGATGAGAAGGCCCTGCCTCCCATCTCATCATCTTCTGCTCCAGCCTTCTTGAATGGCTTCCGGAGGTGACAGTTACCCTATTCTATAACTGATAATTTTCTTTAGAGGTTAGACCCTGGTTCCTTTGGGGGGGGGGAATAAAAGGTATTTGAAATTATATACCTGCCTATCTGTTAAGGAAACCACAGTCTTGAGTTTACAAGAACTGAGCAGGTCGGTTGAGGACAGGACATGTTGGAGATTTGCTCATTCATGGGGTCACCATAAGTTGGAGGTGACTTGACAGCACTGTAACAAAAACAGCAACAACCTGCCCATATTAAATTCTAAAAAGTGATATATTTAAGAAAGATTTGATACTAACATGGCCTTCCTCTTAGGTCCGAGTATGGTATTTCAAGATAGGCACAGTACAGCCCAGCAGCTGTTGTTGGACTGCAACTCCCAAAGCCTTGGCAAGCAGAGTGAAGAGTAAGGACTGTTGGAAGTTGCAGTCTTAACAAATTGGCCCATTCCTATTGTACATATATACTCAGAAATACACCTCATCTAACTATTTCCGGGTAAATGTGTATAGTATTATAACATTAATTGTTGAAGAATATCAGTTATTGATACTGGCTGTATGATAATTTAGTCTTTATTCAACAGAATTATTGGTTAATACATTTGCGTCAGAGGCTAAGCTGAAAGATCACATTAAAAACATTAAAACATAGCAGTTCATCTTTAAGGTACCACAGTGTTTTTGATTTCTTTATTTTTTATTTTTCTTTTGTTTTGCCTCATATGCTAGAACAGATTAACATGGCTGCCTCTTCTAAAACGAACATTTAATGCATATCAGTCGGTAACTGATGTGTGTTAATGACCGTGGCTATACACTTGGGAAATATTGTCCTTAATGCAAAGCTGAAAAGAGTAATTCTGTTTATAAAAATGATTTCCAGGAAAAAGAATAACCTAATTCAGTCTTGTACTTTGCCAATCCCTTTCTTGTCTTTGCCTTATAATGTAGCCCACTGGGCAAGTACTAGTGTAGAAAACTGCAGCATTCTAGGCACCTGCATGTGTGCACTGCCCTTTTTCTTTCCAAAAGAAAAAGCATTCATCTATGTAGTTCCCTGAGTTAAACACCTGGCCACACTGAGCAGCCTGCAAATGCATTGTCTGTCTCCTCCTTTCTGCTTGAGAAGGCCACCAGCCTTGAAGACCTAAAAAAAGGAGACACAAAACTGCTGCATGGTGTCACCGCCAAGAAGGGAAACAGGAGAAGCAGCAACAGCACAGAACAACCTCTTAAATTATTACATGCAAGACTCTTCTGAACCTGCTAAGACTTGTGCAAATGTTAAATTTGATTAATTTGCCTAGCCTTCCTGCTTGAAGATTCCTTTTTCTGTCACAAGATAAATTAGCAACAATGGCATTTTATGTGAAGAAGCAAACTTTGCAGCAGTCAACTAGAACAGTTTCCGTGTAGGAACAGCATTGGTAGGAAAGCAGCCTCGGTGCTTTGCTTCTGCCTAGAATTGGCTAAGTATTGGTGGTGAGGGAAGAAGCAACATTTCATAGACATCTTGCAAGGATAGTGAGAGAGCTACTCATCATTGCATTTTTGTGGATATTTTATCAGTAGGAAGAACCATTTAGGGTAAAGGGTTGAACATAGGGATTTTTTTTCACCTTCTGCTTTTAAATTCTCTGGTTAATGGACCTGAGATTAGCAACCCAAGTTTGTTATTTTAGTCAGGCACATATTCTTAATTTTTAAAAAATGTCTAAAAATTACATGCTTTTTTCTTGCCAATCTTCCTGGAAGTGATACATCTAAAATATACTTGGAATTCAGGGCCACATTTAAAATATGTGGGGTGTTGCTGATTTACTTAATGTTTAAGTAATTGTCATCTTGTGAACAACATAAATTCAGTGGGTGAACATGTTGAATTTATGCCGCCAGAAAGTATTGCCATTCTGAATTAGTTGAACAGCAATGTAAAATGCAAACCCTAAACCAGGCGTCAGGGCACTTTTTTACCTTTTACCCCCTTAAAAAATTCATGTACACCGACATTACTCCCTTGATTTGAAAGGAATAATCTCAGTCACACGCGTCTCAGTCACACACGGCCAGTCCAGTGCCGCCGCTGAAGCCTTGCTGCCCGGACCGCCTCTGCCGCCGCCTGGCGGGGCCACACTAATGCAAACCCTAAACCAGGCGTCAGGGCACTTTTTTACCTTTTACCCCCTTAAAAAATTCATGTACACCGACATTACTCCCTTGATTTGAAAGGAATAATCTCAGTCACACGCGTCTCAGTCACACACGGCCAGTCCAGTGCCGCCGCTGAAGCCTTGCTGCCCGGACCGCCTCTGCCGCCGCCTGGCGGGGCCACACTAAGTCCTTGGCCCCGCGGGGGCGGCTCCCTTTCTCCACCGGCGGGTGGCTCCTGGGTAGCTGTCGAAGAACAGAAGGTGGCTTGCCCGCTGGAGGTCACCTCCCACTCTGGCACCGGCTCTGGCGGCTGCTTGCCGGGGTGGCCATGTCGGGCCTTGGTGTCAGGGCTCCCGAGGCCCTTGCCATTGAAACGCTGCAACAGCTGCTGCATGGAGGGCGAGAGGCTCTGCCAGGCCTGGCCAAGTTGGCACAGAGGGGCTGCCGAAGGAAGCCGTGCAGCCGGGCGAGTGCCACTGCCACCCGACAGGCTTCTCCAGGGACAGGGCGTGGGGCGTTGTGGTCCTGGAGCCGGGAGGCTGAGCCTGGCCTGGGC